TTTGATATAATTATTTAAGTACAATTTTGTAGCTTATATTATACTAAGGTCTCTTAAAGCTCCATTAATGCTGAGGAGGAAGACTCGGCTCAAAGCAAGACAAAATAAATACGCATATGCTCTGTTAATGATTTTCTATGCCAGCAGCTGCGCAAAGAGTTTGTCTTCCCAGCTCGAATCCGGGCTTCTTCAGCCAGCCTAGGGCTCGCCTTCAACAGACAACTCTCAGGCACAGTAGAACGTGGCGCACTCGCCTCTCTTTTGTTAGACTCCCTTCTGCATTATTATAATTTATTACGTTCCACGGCTTGAACATCAAAATACAATATATTAAATATTTCACACGTTTAACTAAAAGCATTTCTGTTAGTTGTCTGAAAATATTTGCATAATTTCTCATCAGATAAACGAATATTATCCAAAATGCACTAAAGTGCAAACATTTGCCAACAACAATTCGCTAATGCCCCAAAAATTGAACAAATTTTCAGCGCTGCTTTAGACACAGTCAAAAATTCGAAAATAAAATGATTTATATATATATATTTTTTTAACATAACAATCATTTCATAATGATTTTTGACGCTTGCTTTCTCTCGCTCCTTCCTCTATGTAATATCATTAAAGTTAATGCCGTAGAAAATTCGATTATTTACAATTTTAGCACAGCGCATAAAATTGCAGTCGAACGTTTCGGGTTTTTAACAACGTGGCCATTAAAAATGTTGCGCACCAGTGTTGGTTTATGTGAAATTATTGAGCTTATGTGTTGCCTAAAAATTAGTCAACACGTTTATTTGTCAGTTATTGGCGTGTGTTCATATGCTGTAGTTAACGTGCACAAAAGTTTTTAATCAAAACAGCAAAACGAAAATGGAAAATGGAAAATCAAAAATCGAAAATAGAAAACGGGCCAAAGTTTTCAATCTCTCTCAAATGTCGAAGTATTTTTCGACACACTCGACTGGGGACTGTCAACAGCCAATTTTGCACATTTCCAGCTGCGAGGGGTAGATGGAGAGTGAGGAGGGGAGAGAGAGTGAGTGAGGGCGTTTGTGAGTGGAATTATAGCTTTATAAGAATTGCCGATGGTCGTATACACTACCTTTGACTGTTATACTTACGAGCGTGACTCGAGCTGATTCTTGAAACTTATCAAGCGTCCTCTAAATTGGACTTTTACAAAATCTATTTGTAGATTTATCATATGAAAGCTATGTTAAGACAGGCCTATTTTTTATATCGCCTCGCATTATATATCCACGGTAACATCAGTGCAGCTAGGCTTCACTATATCAAAAGAAGCTATAAGTCTTCCCTTCATAAGGTCACAGAGAGCATTTTGCAATTAAAATGCCTTTTTGGTAGCGTATAAATGGAAAGTTTTTCGCCCCGTGCAGAGGCCGCTGCATGTCCAGGTTCCAGGCCCCAGTGTGTGTGTAATTCCTGTTGAAATTTCTCCATTACTTTTGCAGTTCAATGTTTTACTTTTATGCTCTTTGCACCCCCCCGCTGCTGCTGCTGCTGCTGGTGCTGGTGCCGCACCCCACTTGCCACATGGAAAATTTACTCGGGGTTCATTTGATTTGCCCGAAAACTTTGGTGGCCACAAAAGTTTTAGCTCTCGGTTCTTGGCAGTGCCGGCGTTCAATGCATTTGATTTTGTGCGTACTGCCAAAGTTTTTGCCTTAAAGAATTGCGAATTGAATGTTTGTGAGTGTGTGTGTGTGTGTGGGTCTTGGTGTGCGTTGGTGTGTGTGTGTGCTTGAGTGCAACATGTTTGCTGCCGAAATGAACGGCGGCGCGTTGAATAAAATGTTGACAGAAAGCAAACTGCAAAACTGCCAAGTGCCAAGGCTTACAAAGAACATCGAAATATAATTGGTGCGCAGTTGAAAAATGCTCGCTATAAGTATGTGTGCGTGTGCGGGTGTGTGTATGTGTGCGTGTGTGGTTGTGTTGTGCCAACAATGGCGTCCAATTATAGCGCGAGACGTGCCACAATGGCCAACGATTTGAAGTTATTTGAAGTGCTACAAGCGCCTTTGGCTGATTGATTGGCTTTGGCCAAAAGTTGTTGCCTACTTTAAGGCGACGCCCCAGCTGGCCGTCGCACCCCTCCGCTCCGCCCAGCCCTCAACTAAGCGAAACACTTGCATATTTTGTAGTTATTATTTAAATTACATTTATTTTCTCATGATAATCACTTGTGTTTTGTTTTTGTTTTTATTTTTTTTTTATATTTAAGTTGAATGCATTTTGCTTATTGTTTATCAATGCAAACAATTGTATGGCTATTTTTCGTTTGTTTTATTTGTATGCTGACAACAGTTGTTGTTGTTGTCTGAGCCAGGGGCAAGTTGAAAGTTTTAATCGTATTTTTTTTTTTTTTTATATAGTTTTTATTTCAATAAATTCATATTCATCAAAGTTTGTTGTAATTTGTTGAAATTTTACATTGAAAACTTTTAAAATGATTTTCTTGCATGATTTCTATTTTTTTCTCTTTTTTTTTGTTTTATTTTGTTTTTTATTTTTTTTTGTTACCGAATACAGTACACACTTATATATTAATTTCTGACTTGATGTTGTTTTGCTTGCGCTTGCCCATTAACTAGTCAATGGCTAATAACGGCCATATGCTTTAATTAAAATATTTACAGTGGGGAATATGCATAACAATGGAAACCAAACGATATTGTTTTTATACCCTGAGCCCATTAAAAGTGGGTATAAGGGTATATTGTATTTGTGCAAAATCCAAATGTATGTAACAGGCAGAAGGAAGCACCTCTGACCCCATAAAGTATATATATTCTTGATCAGCATCAATAGCCGAGTCGATCTAGCCATGTCCGTCTGTCTGTCCGTCCGTCCGTCCGTCCGTTCGTCCGTATGTATGAACGCAAGGATCTCAGAACCTATAAGAGCTAGAGAAATTTTAGATGTAGGTGCTCCTAGTGCCTGCGCAGATCGAGTTTGTTTCCGATAATCGATAAGTTACTCCGTTTCCAAGCAATCGATAAAAATCGATATCGATATCCTGTTTTTTTTGGGAAATTTTGGTAAATAATAAGAGCTAGAGTCACCAAACTTGACATATAGCTTCTAAAATAGAATATATATATGCATTTGATGTGGGAAGAAGAGGGTTCAGGGTATCATTTGTATTTTATTTTTGCATTCATAACAAACAAAATCAAAGAGTGCTGGCTGTAAATGTGTTGCTTTAGGCATACACAGACAAAACACACAGACACGCACGCACACATCGAGCAAAATGACATTTGGTATTAAAATGGGATTTCCGTAATATGCCATGATTTCGGCTTATGTTCTTTTGCTTTGCTTTTATTGTTTTTTAAATATTATTATATTAATTTTTGCGCACTTTTTTTCGCACTAATGAATCTATTCAAATCTCATGAAATTTTTAACATTTGTTTTTTATGTTATTAGTATATTTGTTATGCTTTATGTGGCAATGAATGTGTTTGTGTTTCTTTTTTTTTCTGCCATTTAATGTAATGCTTCTGTATTGTATATGTTATTTATTTTAAATTTTTGCTTAAATTGTACAACACACAAATATGTTTTTTTATATATTTATTAAATGTGATTCGTTTTTTTTTCTAGTTTTATTTTTGTATGCTGCGCAAAAAAACATTCCGAGAGAATTGTACATATTTGATTACGTAGATGTTGGTTTTAATCTTCAGGTTTTTTCTTTTCATCTTTCATTTATGTAAATTGATTTTAAATGAGAAAGCGTAGAAAGTTATTGTGAAATGTAGCATACTCTATACTAGCTGCTGGTGTACTATGGCTTAACTATCAATTTTGTTGATTTTCTGATTTTACTAGGGATTTCTTTTTTTATATTTTGTTAAATGAATTTCGTATGCATCTAACTTGTATGCTGTTTTCCGTTTTATTTACTTTAGTTTTAATACTATTTAGTTGAAGCAGCAACATCTAAAGTTAGCCTCTTCTTCGTGCTTCTGATTGCTGTTCATTATACTATATACTATATATCCGAGCTATAGTTTGTTTTGTCTGTTGTGCAAATCGTTTCGGTTTTGACATTTTCAATTGTTGCAATTCTTTTTGGCTGTGCAATTAATTACAATTTTGACTCTGACAGCTGTGCCAAGATCTGTACCACCTGCCCCTACCCTCGCTCCCTCTCTCTCTGTCCCTTTTTTTTTTCTCGTGCTGCTTGAAAAGTTTACAACAATGCCGGATTTTATATATTTGTTGGTTCAGTCATTTTGTGTGTTGTTTTTGTTGTTGTTGCCGTAATTTATGTATTTTCCACTTTTATTTACACTCGAAATAAAATAAATATAATATATATTTGCGTTTGGTTTTCCTGTGTTCTTGTTTTTTTTTGTTGCCTTGCCATTTGCAATACAATTTATTTTATTTACAAACTTAATAATGCAATTAATTATTGTTGTTTTTTTCTTTTTATTATTTGGTTTTTTCTTTTAATTCTTTATGTCTATGCCTTGGTTTTCAGTTAGTAATTAGTAACAGTAATAATAATAATAACGCTTGGTATGTTTGTGTATTTTATATATATATATATATATATATATATATATATATTGTATGGACTGAAATTGGCTACTTATGCAAAATGGTTTACTTTTTTGTTTTAGTTTTTCTTTATGATATCAATATATGTATGTCATTTGCATATGCATATAGCTATATATAGCTCTAAAGTGGGATTCATGCAGTTTTCAACTGCTGAAGACCAGTTAAATCAAAATCAAAATCGAATTGCAATTAGCCGCTGATTGCTTTTGGCATAACTGAAAACTAACTAAAAGATAACTGCAAACAATTGAATTCACATCTGAACTGAAATTGCATTTGAAAAACTTTAACAATTACTTTAACTAATACATTTTACATGATGCATACATATACATACACATACACATATATAAGTGATAAAAAACTTGTTAAACATACTGTACACAATTTTGTTAAATGATTATCCAACTTAACTTACGCGTAGCTAAATTTGCTTGATGTTCTTTTTCTTCTTCTTCTTCTTGTATATGCCTTGCAGACACAAACACACACACACAGTCCTTGTGTACTTGTGTATGTGTTTGTTTTTTAACATGATTTTTACACAGTTATGCTTTCTTTTGTTTTTCAATGGGACTTAGCTTATATTTTAGGCTAGTTTTTTGTTTTTTATTTTTTTGGTATATTTGTTATTTATATATTTGTTGTTGTTAAGTTCTAACATTGAAATAGCTTAAATAGGATTCTCATACTTTACTATGTATATATATATATTATTTATATTTATATATTCCATTTTGGTTTTTCGCGCTTTAATTCTGTATGGTATTGTAGTTGCTTAGGTCAAGAAAATGCGTCTGCAGCAGGAAATTAAGAAAACAAATTTGCGCAATGAGTTTTACGATAAAAGATTTCGCTGCGTTGCGTGCAAAAGGCTTTTGGGGGCGTGGCTTATACTCACCTAACAACGACCGTATTTAGCAGCAGACAGGGCGCCAGCATCGACCTAAATATGTGCGTGATGCGATCGGCCGAGGAGGTCTTACGCCTCGAGATGGCCGCCATGTTGTCGCCTGCAAGTGACAGGATTTATATAAATTTGTATTAGATATATCTGTATATATATATATATAAATAGAATTACTGGGCGACAGATACGCTGCATTTTCATTAACATTTTAATAAGCTGCAGGCGCTGCGCACAATTTGCATATTTTCATTTACACTTCTTATCGAGGATGCGCTGCGCTTTCGCGATGGCTATTTAAATGCTAAAATCACAAGAAATTCAATTTGGCCGCGAGGCAGTCATGCAAATTGCATGCAACTGTTACGTGCAACAATCTGTGCATATTTCCCCTTCTCAGCCGTTTCTTTCTCTCTCTCTCTCTTGGCAATTTGCACGCTAACGCTTAGAGCTGAGCAGCTGCTCGGCCCGGAGCATCAGAAGTAGCAGCTGTTGTTGAATCTATGCTCAGGTTTCAGCTTAGCTGAGCTGGCGCTCATCTGTGATTCTCACCTTTTGATACAAAGACATAAATGCTAGCTGGCTCGGTGTTGCTGGCGGAGCAGGTGTAGTTGCCGGAATCGGTGATTTGGGGCTCGCGTATGATAAGACGGCTCTGGGTGCGAGGACCCGGTGTCGTCTCAATGGATATGTCTCGCCTGGAGTCATAGTAGTTGATGAGACGATCGTTTTTCTGCCAGTACACGTACTGCGGTGGTGTTGGACTCTGTGCGGCAAAAAGAAAATACATAGCATGTGCATGAGAATTTATGTAAATATTAAGTATACGCACGCTTTACATGTGTACATATTACGCATACGCCGTGGGTGGGCCAAAATGATCAATATATGATTTAATCGGTTATTTGATTGACTAAAACTATTCAAGAGAGCAGAGCATAAGTATAAATAAATGACTTGTACATATTAAGTATACGCACGAGTGCATATACATATTACGTATACACCATGTGTGCTGCGTAAACAACTGAGAAAAGACTTAATCGTTTAATACATTGGCTAAGAGTATCGATAACTAATGACATATTTTGAAAAATATACTCATTTAATGAAATCGTCACTAGTTTTTGATTCTCACATAAAATTTATCAAGCGTTTTACTATACTGTTACTTAATGCTCTCTAAACTGTATTATACATATTTATATTGAATATACTCAAGTTAAATTGTCAGTAGTTAGCGATAGCAACAACAAAGTTCTGGATCGTTTTGCAGCACTTATCAAAAACTCTCAAAATAGTGTTGAGTCTGAATTGATTTATCGCATTATACAATTGCTCTCGAGTATTTCTTTTTTTTGTTTTTGGTATTTCTCCACGTATTTCCGATTTTTGTTTGTGTATTCTTTTGTGACTTTTCGTACTTACCTTCTCAATAATGCAAACCAAATTGATTGTCGAGCCCATATCGACATGCAGTTCACCGGAGCCAAGTATAAATGCCTCGGGCACAACCACTTGAAGATTCACAAAGTGCGAAATGATGCCAGTCGGTGTGGAGACCTATACGATGGATAAAGTGAGCTACAAGTTTGAATTTGATTCGCATACGCTTAAGCATTCGATGTAATCAACTTGAATGTTAATGCATCAGTAGATACTGAGCCACGGCATCACTCAGCTAGTCACTCATTCATCCACTCAGTCAATCAGTCAGTCAGTCAGTCAGTCCGTCAGTGTGCGCATTAGGTTTATATTACGACACAAGTTTCCTCAACCTCTTGCTGCTCTGCCCGAAACTGGCCCAGTGAAACGTTTTGAGTGCAAGAAATGTTGCACTCATTGAAATGCAAATCAAACAATTTCAATTTGGCACGCAAAATGAAACAAAAACGAGCATTTTCTATATAAGTGGAAAAGTGCTGGCGCTTTCCTGCAACACACGCTGCATACGAAAAATAACCGTTGGCCCGAGACGGGCAGCCGGGCGAACACCAATTGCACTGCAATGCAAAAGGAAAAATAATCATTTCGGCATATTTGCATGCAGCGCTCGTTGAGCGCCCCAAAACTGAACCGGCTGCCCCGTCTCTGACAGACTGCCAGACCGGAGGACTATGGCATGTGGACTCTATCTCTGTGCCTGCCGCTCACACATACTCTAGCTCTCTTTCGCTCTCATATTGAAGCTGCATGCAAACAATTTTTGAAATTGAAGCAACGCTTCAGGCACTTCCCGCTACCCGCTGTCTCCAAGCAGCAGCACTTGTGCGGCTGCTGCACAAACAGACTTACTGTCAAGTGTCCATTTCAGGCGTTTCCCCAAAACTTTGTTGCTTTTTGGTTAGTTGTCTCTCGACTCGACTCAACTCGACTCGACTCGACTCTCTTACAATGTTTTCCCTATCCTTTCTTTTTTTTTTGGCTCTGACAAAACACGCCTCTTGCCATATCCGCATGACTTTCGGCTTTGTCTGCTGGCTTACTTTTGCATTACTTTGAATGCATACACACATTGGGTGTGTGCGTGTGTGCAAGTCACTGGCTAAATTTGTCAATGTCCAGTTTATCTGGCAGCCGCAGCGTCTGCGCTTGACAGCCACATGGTTTCGGCTGTGCCCGGCCAAAAGCCTGTCAACGTCATGTACATGCGAACACGAATCCGAATGCGAATGCGGATGCGAATGCGGATGCGCAGACGCCCAGCAGGTTGCCTTAAATCGAAGCTGTTAAAAAAATACTGCATTTGCATATTACAATTAAATCAGGCGCCGTGCAAAAATCGACAGTGATGTGGAAATCAACGTAAACCAAAAAAGGGCCAACAAGTAAAAATTGTATGTACCAAAAGCCCAAAAACCTCAATATTGCGTATACGACACACCACTCCCCCCCCCCCCCCCCCCCCCCCCCCCCCCTGTAACCGAAGTGGAGCATATGCAAATGCACTTTAGTTCATTTCAACTGCATTGCATGCATAAAATATATGAAATTCCAGCATTTCCCCACTCACCTGGCACTCGTACATGCCGTGATCCCGGCGCTGCACAAACTTTATCTGCAGCGTCCACATGTTGGAGCCGGGCGTGTGGAGTATCGCGAAGCGTTCATCATTTGTATAGAGCTGGGCGCCCGAGGATAATATGTGCCAGTCCCGGCGCCGTATCCAAGATATTTGATTCTGTTAACAAAGAAGCAAAAAGTTAAATAAAAAGCAAACCCACACACACATTATCGAATGTCACGTTAATTGAACAAACGCTCGAAAGTAGGCAACAGAAAATTTAAAATTCAGACCACGCTAAAAGCGCATGCAATTAGTGTATACATATTGTCGCCATTTTATCAGTGTGTTTATAAAAAAACACTATAAATAGCACTGCCTGTGTGTGTGAGCCGCAGCTTTGGCCTATTTATAAAAGGAATATAATAATAATAGCTTGCGAGCAACAACATTTTAATACGACTTTAATGCAAACAGATCAAAATAAAAAGGAAATAAATTAAAGCATATTTATAATTATTTACAACCACAACACATAAAATATATATTTATGACTACATCATTTCCAGGAGGAAATGTTTAAAAAGTAACTGGCCAAATAAAAGTTTTAACAGCGCGTTTATTTTTATTTCAGATAAGCCAAAAGCCAAACGCATTTCAAATGCCATTTTTGTATCGGCATCAGACAGCTCTCAAAAAATTGTTGATCCCCTAGGCAAATACAGCGGACATTTGGCCAATGCAGCCAGCGACAGCTTAGGTAAGCTCTACTCTGCTCTACTCAAAACTTATTGCTATATAAGATATCAGTCGTTGACTGAATGTCAGACAGCTCTTTATTTTATATATTTTTCAAGCTTTATAATACTTTTCGTAGCTTAAATCGTTTTGCTCTGCCTTAATTTCTTGGGCTCTTTGGCCCATGTCTTGGGCTTTGATTAATTGATATTTTAGCAATTGTGGGATCGTCTGTGGCATTGCTTTGTATTGCGTGTCACATTTGGCCATTTAATTGCTTGTTAGCAAACGCTGAATGGCTAACAAAGTGTACACAATGTCATGGCAAACGTTTTCTGGCTTTCAGCTGCAAATTAAACTCGTATTTGTATTTCGTGCTCAACTGCCAAACAAATTGGACATTTGCGTGCCCGATTTCACGACGACATAAAATAAGCAGGCAAAAAAATAAAAAAAAATAAAGAGAAAAAAAAACTGAAAGCCATATAATTAAAAACTACAAAAATGCAGCGCAATTTGCAAACGAAACTTAAATTTAATTTTTGTTTTTGTTTCTGTTGGCGTGCGGTGTGGCATGCATAAAATGACTTTAGCTTTTGAGTACTAGGCTAGGCGTGCTAGGATTGGGTAAGCCGCGGCACAATTAGAAAGACAAAAACAAACCCAATTTACACCCACTCGATCCACGCCGGAGACCTTGCAGACGAGAAAGGCGGTGCCACCCAGCTGAACGGTCGTATTATGCGCCATCAGCTGTGGGAGAAAGAGAAGCAGAGTGGGGGCGGGAGAGAGAGAAAAAATACAAGACAAAAAGTTAAAAGTTCATTTTTTATGTGTTGTCTGTAAAAGAAAAGGTAGATGGATAGCCAGACAGAGTGTGGCCCATTACAAAGAATGCCATGAAACAACAAAAAAACGAACCACGTCGCAAAATTAGTCAGCAGAACAAAGCGGCATATACTACATATACATATAAGTATATATGGGGATATATATAGGGATATGCTCGATCTGAGCGCTGTCTAATTATATAGGTTGAGTGGCGTGGCCTTTTTGGATAATTAGATAGACGTAGCGCGGGTGCGCGAATGTAATATAAATAAGCACTAAAGATTAATTAGACTTGGCTTGGTCTTCATGTTGTATGGTAATTAGCATTATCCTGGCCAAAACTATTTGCATGTCCTTCGTGCCTTGTCGTTTTTCGTTGCCATCAAATTAACATATTGATCAACACTGGCCAGCTGGCAATTGTCCTTGCTGTACGTGCACTCGTCTTGCAGACGTACAAGTGCCACTTGCAGCACGAACTAGCTGCAGCTGCAGCCAGCGTCAGCTTTGAAGTCAATTCAATTTGAATTTAAAACACACTTCGTTGCACTTCATCGATGTCCGATGTCCTTGCAATTGGGCTAACTGTTTGAGCAGTCGCTTTGTCCGTCTGTCCACTTCATTCAATTTTCGACTTACCTCGCTGTCCTCGAACATGGGACTGTCGCTGGAGTCGAGATTATTATCCAATTTTGAGTCGGCATTTATACCATTGCGCGTCCATAGCTTCTTCCAATCGTTATCTGTGAGTATTGACTTTTGGTCTAAAATCAAAATGGGAAACAAAGCGTTAGACAAGAGACTAACAAATACGCCAAGTCCAAAGTGCAATCACAAATAGCGTTAAAGGGCGTCTTTAAAACTTAACTTCAGTTTGGCAATCAGCAAAAATATATTTCTATACCACTTTTTTTATTGCGCACTGCAATTGCCAGCGAAAATCTACTCCAATCCCCTTCACCACCTGCACTTTCTGATCGTCTTGAAAAATCAGTTACAACTGTTGAAATAATCAAGCATTTGATTGACATACAAAAACTCAGCGTGTTATTTACGATTATTGCTTCTACATGGCATTTATTGATTGCCCTCGACGCTTCTCCCTGTTTTTGTCACACGCAAACACACACACACACACACACACACACACACAAACACACTCACACACATATGCTCACTTCATGAAGGGGGTACAAATCGCTTCCTATTGTCCTTGTTTAATTTGTGTTTATTTTCGTAGCACGCAATGCTGCTATATCTAAATGTAATTACATTAAGTTTGTGGCCAACTTGAAAAATTAATTATTAGCTGGAAGTTATTAAGTTTACAGAGGAATTATTTTGTGTGTAGCACAGTAGAAAAGAAGACTGGGCAGATAATATGCATATCTATGTCTGATAAACACATTTCAATTGCGAAAAAGAATATTAAAGGCCTCCTGCTGTTACTTAAGCTATATGAAAATCGCATATCTTTGCACAGCACACGACGATGACCTGCAGCTTTTATTTTATTCTTCTTATTGATTGAATCAGTTAAATAGCTGCTGAACTTTGCCACACGCCCTTATATTTAGCGCGTCATACTCCGCCGCACTTTATGATAAATAAAATCGATTAAAACGAAAGCAAATACCGATTAATCCAATTAGTCTGCACAAACAAAGTTACTTTAAACAAAGACGCAAAGTCTGGCCAGGGTCTTGGCCTAAACTGCGGCAGTTAATAGACCAAAAAGTCGTCACCAAAAACCCAAACCGAAATCTACGTAGAATTACTTCCAATACTTGCTAACGCTTGTAAGTACTATATTTTATAAAGGCGGCTACTTGCAGCTAATAATTAGCTATTTATGTAAATAAGAAATTCTAGATTAGAAGAAATGCGTAGCAGAATAAGTAGAAAATAACTTTGTCAACAGTTTGGTTGCCTAGCTGACCTTTGGATGAGCCGCATAAGTGAGGGCAATATGCCCCAAAGTTGCGGGCTTATATAACCGGCTTGTTAGGCCCAGGAAGTTTCTTTGACCCTAATACGAATATAATTAGTTTATAAGTTGTAGAGTTGTAGCAATCGATAGGAACAATGGACAATTTTAAGGAAGCGAAATTGCCTATCAGTACCCGTGTATGTGGACTATTTATAGGCCAGGACATAATACAATGCTGCCTGGCCAGACACAGGCAATTATTAGAATGCAATTTATTAAGTATACGCCCCATGCTAATTTGAATCTGAGCAAGTGCAACTATAATTTTCATCAAGTTTGGTGTTTACTTTAATTAGGAAACTTTGATTGCCCGGGCAACCCGCACTGTGAGTGGCTGACCCGTGGCCAAATTAAATTTCCGCCACGCTGAACCGCAGCCGAGGCGAGTCCCTTTGCTTCTTGATGTAGCATTTTTTAATGGGTTGCGTGCTCAAGCAGCTGGAATATGACTAACCAACGGCAGGTGAGCTGGGGGCTGGGGGCTGCTTGTTGATAGGCGCGGCCTCAATATAAACTCAGCGCTGTAAAAGGGAATTTAATCAATCAATCAATCAATCAGCGGTGCGTAGTGCAGGAACAACTTTTAAGCAGGCGGCGCACACGTGTACATTTAACCTTGGCCAGCTACACCCAATACACCCATCTGCAATTGGTTGTGCGTGAAATAGAGGCAATGCGCAGTGCCTCACTCCCCACTGCCACGCCTCTCGCCCCCTATTTACCTACTGTCTGCCCCGCTGTAAGCCATAAAACACAGCGTAGCCAGCTCGCACTTTTATTGCCTCGTAAATTTTTATAGTTCATACTTTGGGCAAAACCAGCTACACATATCTATACACTTGTATATCTCTCTGTGTGTGTGTGTGTGTGCGCGCGTCTTATGCTTTGCACTTGTATTTGTTATTGAATTTGTATTCGTTTCGTTCTCGCATTTGTCGAGTACATGCGCATTCTCCGTCCTGTAATTTATGCGCCCGCTTTGCTGCCAATGACGTCAAAGCTTCATTTTGGTCTCGCTGCTGCATTGAGTTTAAATTTTTCGTATATACCATATTTATTTGGCGTTGAGCACATTAAAACTCGACAGACAATGGCAATGCACCATTAATAACAACAAACATGCCAGAGGGGGACGGCAACGACGAGGACGGGCGCTTTATGACAGGGTCAGGTCGATTTCTGTGGTCAACAGCAAAAACACTTGGCTCAAGTCAACATATATATTCAGCTGAGGAGCCAATGGAGTATAAGTCTGAAAATTCTTTATCTTTGCATTTGTATGCATGACAGCACAAACACACGACAGGCACACACATGCACACTGACAAGCCGAAATATATTGCGCATGTTAAGAGGAATGTAAATGCTCAGACACAAATACAAATACAAGCGGCAAAAGCCAACGCACGCCCAGTCCCCAGCAGCGTCTAAGGTCAAGTGCCAGTCGCACTACGAGACTAGTGTGTGTGTGCATGTGTGTGTCTGTGCTGGTGTGTGTGTGTGTACGCGCTATAATAGTAAAAAAAAACACGCACTGCTAATAAAATGGCTAAAAGTCGCGTATTTCAGCGCGTCGCTGCTTTCTTTAGCTTTTTTTTTGCCTTTCTCCGACCGATACGTGCGCATGTCAGCCGCCTGCGGCTTAGGCGTGTGAATTATATTATGCCTGAAAATAGGCAACTGTAATATAAGTTGGAGCAAAAAGCAAAATAGCAAAATGGCGAACGCCTTCGTCCAATGGCCACCCACAAACCGGATGTCCTGTGCAGAAATATAGCGCAAGCAGCAGAAATAACCAGAAAAACTTTTGTGAATAGAGTCCAACTGAACGACAGACAAATGCCCTGTAGTTACTTAAGTTGGTTAGTTAGTGCTCATACCGTACACATAAATCTCCCTTTTTATATAAATATAAATGACAATAAGCAAATATTCTCTTTTAATTAAATTTCATGGCACACACCTTTTGCTGTCTGTTATCTATCTATCTTATAAACCCTTGCATGTTTTGCAGGGTATACAAATTATGCAATTTCTTTACTTTTCTAAAAGTAATAAATTAAATACAACATTTTTGTATATTTTGTTGCAGTTGTCTTCGGCATGCAGATCGAATTTATTTGTGCAATGTAAGCCCTTTGCTGTTGTGGTTCGACTTTTGCAGGGTAAACCAAAGAATATGTTAAAGTCGCTTTTAGCTTTTTCATACCATTTCCTGTTTGGTTTTTTTTTTTTTAGGGTGGGCAACTGAAAAGCGATAAATAATGAAGTCAGCAAGTGCGACTGGCGTGGCTTGCATGTTTATTATTAATAATAAATAATTCTTGTCAATCCTGCGAGCGTTTAAGTTCTATGGCACCAAAGCACGATACATGCCCCTTGTTGTTGTTGTTGTTGTTGTTGTTGTGCGCACTTGTCATGTTTCTAAAATGATTATTTATCTGTCTTACTTGGCTCCAAAACACACTAATACACTCACACACACACATACATACAGAGCCAGGCAAGCAGCATGGCGTATGCGTAATATTTTAATGCGCTGTCAATATGTTGGCGCTGTCTGCCGCCAGTTAAGCCCGAAAGCTGCTTAACTCAACGCTCCTTGGCCAAAGTGCTTAGCAGTTTTTAAGCTGCCTGACAGCCTCCTGGCTGCCACCTGCCACCTGCTGCCTGCTGCTGCCAGCCACCTGCTGTGGCTGCCTAAACCTGAGCTCTGTAACCCCTCTAAGCCAAAGATCGCGCGTCTAGCGTTACAAATGCCTTCAGCTTAATATGAAAACCACTAAGAAAATTTGCAAAATAGCTGAAATTGTGCAGCGCATTAGAAGAGCATCCAAAGGCAAAACTCATTTGCACTTGAAACATGAGCGCGAGTGTAAACAAATGGCAAAGGGCGGATGGAGCGACAGCAAAAAAAAAAGGAAAACATTGCAAAAGTAAGCTGCGTACGTGTGTGTGTATGTGTGGAGTGTGAAGTGTGCGTGTGAAGCTGCCCTGGCGACCTTGACGCAGGCAAATGTGCCAGAGCCAAGCAGAAAAACAGAACGTGTGGGCGTGGGGCCTGAAGAGAAAGTGTGTTTGTCGAAGACAGAAGTTGACACGTGTATTTCTGCTGCTGCTTCTTCTTCTGCTGCCTGTCAGCTAAAAGTGCTAAGCTGACTGTTCCTGGGTTTGGCAGCAAGCATATATAACTTATATATAGTATATATTTATTTATATTTATTTATACATATCCAATGTGTGCAGAGCGAACTGTAGGGCTTCACAGAAAGCCGGCTTCAATATTTGCCGAGTAGTTGCTGAGGAGTTGTTTGGCTTTTCTTTTGAAATACGACAAAAAAAATATAAGAAATCCTGACAGTTGTGAGGCGCATTTTCCGCTGTTCGGGCTGGTGAATTATTTGCATATTTTCCATTTTCATTTGTTTTTGGGCGACTTTAAAAAGTCTATTTATAACAAAACAAAAAAAAAACTCTCTTGTCATTTGCTTTGGCTGACTTTGGGCTTTTTGTGCATAGATTTCTAAGCCACAAGGCGTGGCAATAAATTTTCAATTTTTGCGCTGTCACACGAGCTAGCCCCGCCCCCACGCCCGGAGGCGGCGTAATGAGCGCACCGCGAGCCGATAAGGTGTCGCCATTGCTTTTGTTACGCTTCATAATTTATGCGTAACGCGTTTGGCCAAAACCAAAAAAGACAAAAAAGAAGCGACTAAAAAAGCCTCTCAAAAAGGCCTTTAAAAAAAGCAAACAAAGCGCTAGGCGCATGCCGCATGGGGGCAGGCTTTTAGGTCAAAACCAAAGCCACAAGGGCAACAGTAACAGTTACAGTAACAGCAACAAGAAGTGAAAGCGGCAACAACAACAACAACAACAAAGGGCGAGTCGCCCTTAGCGCTAATCTCTCCCCTGTGTATTTTTCATTATCGTTATTATTTGTGAATGTTACGTGTTGGCCATAACTTAGAGCGGCTAACGATGCGTATACGTGATGCCGCGCACACACACTCGAACTTACACACACACACGCGCATAGACTGGGGCTGGGGTGTGGCATGCTTTTAGGCGGCCGCGTCCATTTAAACCAAATTAGCAAAAGGTCAAAAAGTGCCGCGAGCTGCGCGTCGTGTCCTGCGTTCTGCACTGAGCGCTGAGCTGTGAGCTTGATGAAAAATTAATAATTGTTTGCCAAGCAATTGCCGACGACGACGGCTTTAAAATGTTTACCTGTGCACTCGCCGTGCGGCCAGGGCCGAAAATTTAGGCAAACTGTAAACTGAAACTGCGTCCCACTCGACCTGCTCTAGGCCACGCCTCCGAAGGGCCAGCCACTCACAACATTTACCAAATTGAATGACAAACATTCAACTCGTCGCATTCAAGCGCCTATTTTTGGAGCTCGGCTCAGCGTCGCTTTTGGCCCATTAATGAAAATATTTGGCCAAGAAGTTTCTAGCCGCAGGTGCATACTTAGCGCTGGAATTTAATGCGCTTCACTCTCACGGCCTTATAAAATTTGCTAGCATAATAAATCCGTAAATTGGCAAAGTTTGCCTAGCCGTCTAGGATTAGGCGTTTAATTGCATGGGGCGTAGGGCGTGGGGCGTGGCCCTAGAAAACAGTACATTTAGCTCTGTGCGCAGAGTGGGCTTTATGCAAATACTAAAATAAACTGCTGCATACTTTGAGGCGCCGAGCGAAAATTTCATTTAAATTCAATTGTCAGGCCACTAAAACCCGACGCTGTTTTAACTGTTTGGCGCAAATTGCTATTGCATTAATTAAATTTTATAAATTTAAATACTTTACGGCAAAGTTAATTAAGAGGATATTGGTTTTGCGCTATATCGTATGTTTCTGTCCGTCTGCTAGGCTAAGGGCAGATTTTTTTCAGACTTTATGTTGGGAATATATGCTCATGCATAACTACGCCAGATAAAGTGTTTATCATTAGGGGCGTGGCAAATGGGCTTAAGATGGAAAAGCTGTAGAAAAATTTGGAAGCTAGCGGAACCTAAGCAACAACTGAAAACATTTGCTGAACTCTGTGAGTCGTTAACAACCGCCTGACTGCATTACCCTGTATTGTTGTTTTTTCTGTTTTGTTTCGTTTTGTTTTATTTTGTGGCAACTTACCTGGCTCGAGCGTGGTGGCCAGCAGCAGCGTGGGCAGGCAGAGCAATAGTATGCACAGTTCCATTAAATGCAGCGGCAAACGCAACTGCCGCAAACTCAGCAGCCCTGGTGGCAACATTTGTGGCAAGACGAGACTTCTGCTCAACACAACGCACGCGCTTCGCTTAACGTATTGTCGGCGTGTGGCAGCTACAGCACAGCTGCGGCGACTTGGCTGGCTGGCGTCTTTAACTGTGACTAAACCGCACAATGGTACATCGATGCCATGCGTAGCTGTTGCTGTTGTTGTTGTTGTTGTTGCTCGCTTATTAGGGTTAATGGCTTTTTGAATGAACGCGCTGTTTCCTTTCAGCACTGCCAACACAACTTTACGCACATATGTCTGCTGCTTGCTGTTGTTCTTGTTGTTGTTGTTGTTGCTTTTGTCTGAGCTGATGCGCTGATAAATGATGCTTCTGCTGCTGCTGTTGCTACTTCGATGCAGTCCTTTTGCTACTTCCTGCTTGTTTTTTTTTTTGTTTCTTTAACTATTTTCTATTTCCTTGCGCCGCTTTGTTGTCGCTTGTCAATGCGTTGCCTGTGTTGTCCTGTTGCCAGTTGTTGTTCGGATTCCACCCACAGTGACAACGCGCAACACCTAACCCTGCTATACTGTTTTTGCCTCGCTTGTTGTTGTTTGTATGTATCAAATTTGCAGCTTGTTGTCTGGCTCCTATCTCCTTTCTCCTTTCTTTACTATAAGTTGGCTAGTTTGCTGCTCCTTTGGTTGGGCTGCTTGGTTGGGGCAAAACTTGCATGTTCTCCATCATTTTTCATGTCACTGCGCATTAGCACATTAAGCCACGAGCATGTTATTTTTGTTGCTGCTATTGTGTTGCACAGCAAAAAAATTAACACTCGCTTTTTATGAAATTACATTCAATTTGCTGTAGCGCTACCGTTGTTATTGTTGTTTTTTTTTTTGCTCTTCCAACAATAACAACAACAATCACGCGTCAAGCTGATGATGAATCACTTTTAATGTAATATCTTTTCCCACTGGCAACTTTTTTCGTTCTTCTCCTTGGGGAATTGTCAGTTGCTGGTGCTGCTCTTTTAATAAGTTCGGCTTGAATCATGTAGTTAGTCGACGCATTCTGCAAATCAGAAATATAGAAAAAGAAGTTCAATTAAGCAAATCATAAATGCAGTCGTAGTAATATAGAGAGCGAGACAACTTAAGTATTTAGGCCTGGCAGAGAATACATGTTACTGCTTTGTGGTTGGAAAAACATAAGAAAAGAGGTATCATTTTTAAATATTATATTCAAAATCCTTTAAGTCTCACTTCTGAGATACTTACTTATATGTAATGTAATTGGCTTTTTCGTTGTGCATGATAACAAATTCATGAGGCAAATATTGAGATTGCTGTTGTATTTTATTTTTTATTACAAAAAATTATAGTACATAGATTGCTCAATGTAAAAGCAGAATGAATATCAACAGAAACAATTGTCAATTAAAATCCAGTTGGTATCAAAATCGGTTTTATTTTTGTTTAACCAAGTTATAAAAGTTTGAACTCAGCTTGCATAAATCCCATTGTCGGAGCTACTCAGGAAGGCTGTTGTGGCTATTTCTGTTGTTTTTTTCCCCCATCAGCTTAAAATCAATGTACATTTTTAAAATCGCATAATTTGGATTCAGTGTAAGCTGCCAATTAATCCAATTAGAATGCGACTACAGAAATGCGACTGCGGCACTTTCCGATTGTTTGTTTGTATTTTGTATTTTTTTTTTTCTGGTACTTATTGAAGCGGATTTGTTTCAGTTGTATTAAATTGGGATTGCCTGCTGTTCCATAGAGAGCATTTCGTATTGTAATTTGCCCGCTTCCGCTGTGCCTTACAGTTGCCTTAATTGTGTGTATACAAAAAAGAAAAAACTCTAAGGTTCCACTGCGCCCACTGATTTGCATGCAGAATGAAATTTATTTATTGTGCCAGCAAATTTGCCACATTATTTATAGGTCAACAGGAGGCGGCAACTCGTCCCGCTACTTGCTACAGCTTATGCAAAACTGGCCACAGGCCCGAGTAATGAATGGCCACAAGATTGTCTGGGGCAACGCGAGCTGCTGCTTCTTGAGATGCTGGAAAAGATTCTTGATGTTGCCGGGACGCTAGTTCACTTTTTTTCTCCCCTCCCCTCTGTCTCTCACTGTTATAATTCATATGCCCTTACAAAGGGTATTTTTATTTAATGATGCGAAATGTGTAACGCATAGAAGGTGGCTTCTTTGAATCAACAAAGTATATATATATATATATATATATTCCTGATTAGTATTCGTCTGCCTTTTTCTATGCAAAACAAATCTCTCAGTCTTAAAGGCTCGACTTCTTGCCGCAGGCTATATCGGAATAAGCCGGATCATAACTATATAAGATGTAGCTCCCATTGAAAGAATTTGTGTCAAGATATCTGAACGATACGTGTTTTATCATTCTCCTTACTTGACTGTAAAAAAAAGCCAACAATTTATCTAGAAGAGTATTTAATCTGCGGCAATACTTTCAAGTTGCTCTTTGTTTATTTATTTGTTAGCACGTACGGCTGACTTTGGTATCTTTATTTTTTGTATTTGTATTTTTATGTTAAAAAGCATAAAAATAAAATTTGGCAATTTGGTCAGAAAGTTTTTGAAGCAACTCATAATTTTTACTGCTTTTTATGCTGTTTTTTTTTATATATATATATTTTTATCTAACACATATCCTAGAGCACAAATTGAAGTCCCCGACCGC